TTGTGTCCAACTATAACTAAAAAGTATATATTTTAAAAAGGACAAAAGAAAGATTGCTAGCCAGGTGCGGTGGCACACTCCTGTAATCCCAGCAGTTTGGGAGACTGAGACAAGAGGATCACAAGTTCAAAGCCAGCCTCAGCAAAAGCGAGGCGCTAAGCAACTCAGTGAGACCCTGTCTCTAAATAACATACAAAATAGGGCTGGGGATGGGGCTCAGTGGTCGAGTGCCCCTGAGTTCAATTCCCAGTACCAAAAAAAAGAAAAAGAAAGAACGATTGCTTTAGCCATAGTTAGGTGAGAAAGAATGAAGGACTGAAGAGGGGACAAGATAGAAGGGAGGACAGGATTTGAAAGACATTTAGACATTAGATATTCTAGGAGTTAGGCCCATTAGGGTTTGATGTCCAATATGATATTGGAGATCCCTGGAAAGAGGCCTTTGGTCCATTCCCCAATCCTCCAGCACATGTGGTTGTGCTGTTTCCTGAGAGGGAGCACAGAACCTGGAGCAGCTTGGGGAGGAATGATGTCTGCTGAACCAAAGAAGGTATTCAGGCCTGCTCATTGAGCTCCTGTCAGCACCTGCCTGTCAGCCATAGATGACCCCTCAGCTTTAGGCCAAAGATCTCCAGGCCAGGAGATACTTCATTTCCTGTACCTAAGGCCTTCCTTAGACCCTTTTGTCCCTTTAGAAGCAGTAAAACTATAGGCAACTAGGATGTTTCCCTAGTTACACATTTCACATTTCTGAGGTTTGTTGAAAAAGAAGTCACTATTGGAATGTGTGGGGGTTGGATCTTTTTTTCTTTTCTTTTATTTCTTTTTTTTTTTTTTTTGGTTGTAGGTGGACACAATGCCTTTTTATTTTATTTATATGGTGCTAAGGATCAAACCCAGAGCCTCACACATGCGAGACAAGTGCTCTACCACTGAGCCCCCACCCCAGCGCCAGCCCCAGCCCCGGGATTGGATTTTTTTTTTTTTTAAAGAGAGAGAAATTTTTTTTTAATATTAATATTTTAGTTTTCGGCAGACACAACATCTTTATTTTTTTATTTTTATGTGGTGCTGAGGATCGAACCCAGCGCCCCACGCATGCCAGGTGAGCACGCTACTGCTTGAGCCACATCCCCAGCCTGGGTTTGGATCTTAATATCTTTATTTTCTTCCTTCCTAGATGATTTACTTTTTTTTTTTTTTTTTTTAGTATTGAGGATCATTTTTATCAAATAGACAGTATAATCACCAGATTCAGTCAAAAGCCAAGTAAAATGACAAACTGGGCTATGGGTGTGGTAGAGCACTTGCCTAGCATGGGTGTGGCCCTGGGTTCCATCCCTGGTACCACAGACAAACAAACAAAAACGCAACATCCTTACATAAGAAGCAGTACAGAGGGTTTATTTTACAAGCCATGTACCTTGCTATTGGCAACATAACTTATCCACCTTTGCTGGTTTCTAACAGAACCATCTAAACAACTTTAATGATATTGGAATTTATTTAGAATTTATTACAGTGATATAACTACATCTGCCTATGTCTCTATGTTATTCATACATGACTGAATGATGAAATGATGTATGAAAGGCAGGGTCTGATTTTTCAAAAAAGTTCTTTGCTTGAGAACCTATTAAGAATAACCACAGCAGGGCTGGGGTTGTGGCTCAGCGGTAGAGCCTAGCACATGCGAGGCGCTGGGTTCCATCCTCAGCACCAATAGAAATAAATAAATGAAGTAAAGATATTTAAAAAAAAAAAAAGAAGAACCACAACACTAAAATATTTAAACCATATTTTCGTCTTGCAGGATGCTTTGATTTTGATGTAGTGAATTCCTAGTTCCTTCTATACTGAAACATTGCTAGGTTAGCTGTAAACCTGTTTCCTTAGTGTATTCTCTTTATTTGAAATTTTCTATTCTTGGGACTAGTTTGTGTAAGATGGGACCTTGGTTCTTAGTTTGATTTCCTTTATACTTCATCTTACCCAACAAAGATCAACAGATGTGCCTTATGGAGGTCTTTATTCACTGTAGTCGATTGATCTAATGGTAAAACTATTTTTGACCAGTTACTCATTTCCCCAAGAAGATAATCTAGATGTGTGTATGTGGCACCACAGTGTTCTCTAATATCTGCAGAGGTGGGGGCACCACTCCCCAGGAGCTCTCCAGGTCTGTAGCATGCCCTCCTGCCAGGACTTAACTCTGCTGAAGAGAGCTGCCTTCCACAGGGTAGCCCATACTGTGGCTAACCCCCCAGGAGGACCAAGCTCCAGGCTTTGCTTCCGTCTGGATCAGTACTGAGGGGCATCTTCTTGTTAATCCCCAGGGGATTAACTGAAGTCTTTGTGTGACAATTTCATGGTTCTGCTTCTTTCTTCCACAGCTTGGACACCCCTCTCCCACCCCCAGGCAGTTCTCAATAAACTTCCCGTGTCCACCCCTCCATCTCTACGTGTTTCCAGGGAACCTGACCTGTGATAGAATCTTTTCCCCAAATTCAGTATCTGGCTGAGCGCTGGGAGATAGTGACATTTGCCAAGATTCAGTGGGTCTGGTCTCAGAGCTGCTCTGGCTGTGTGCTCCCAGTACTGCCCTTGGGCTGTGGAGCTACCTCTGCTGCCGCGTGCCTCTGGCAATTTTAGGCCATCCGGAATGGCTTTCACTACCCTCTCCCCAGGAAGTCCTGGTGTTCCTGGGAAATTCCTTTGAATCCACTTGTAATATAATCTTAAAGYACCCATTTCTGAAGAAGTTGATTTTTTTTATAATAATGGAATATTCTTTTTTTTTCCTATTTTATTTTTTATGTGGTACTGAGGATCAAACCCAGTGCCTCACACATATTAGGCAAGGGCTCTACCACTGAGCCACAACCCCAGCCACAAGAAGTTGACTTTCAAAGATGAGAGATGTTTGGAATCCATGGAAGAGATTTCTCTTTTCAAGGGAAAAATCACGTTGCTGGGTGTCTGATAGTGTAATTCCTGATCCAGAGAAGCTAAAATTCAAAGGAGTTTGTGTTGCTGGCCAGCAGAAAAGCCAACCTAAAAGGCAGCCTAGAACTCTTCTTTTATTTTTTATTTTTAAAATTTTTTTAAAGGACTTTATTGGGGTGTGTGTGTGTGTGTGTGTGTGTGTTTAAGAGAGAGTGAGAGACAGAGAGAGAATTTTTTAATATTTATTTTTTAGTTTTCGGCGGACATAACATCTTTGTCTGTATGTGGTGCTGAGGATCGAACCCGGGCCGCACACATGCCAGGCGACCGCGCTACCTCTTGAGCCACATCCCCAGCCCCCAGCCTAGAACTCTTAGCAGTCATGAAATTAAAAGGTTTGTTCTCAGCTACTTGATACACAGGATTATTCTTTTCAAGTGATTTAATTTCTTCCTCTCTTTGTTAATCTTTGAAATGAATATTAAAACACCAGCCTGTTATTTATCGAGTCCCTGTAAGAAGTGTTGAGGCTACTTAAGGTCTTTTGGTTTTTACTTTTCTTTAAAACATTTTATAATAATATATTATCATTATTATTATATTTGTATAATTATAATTTATTGTTATTATTATTAGGTACTGAGGATTGTACCCAGGAGCACTTTTTTTTTTTAAATTTTGAGACTGGATCTTACTAAGTTGCTTAGGGCCTCTGTAAGTTAGTAAGTTGCTAAGGCTGGCCTTGAATTTGTGATCCTCCTGCCTCAGCCTCCTGTTCTTTCTTTCTTCCTTTTTTTTTCAATAGCTTTCTGGAATACACTGTTAAATTGAGAGAATTACTCCCAAATCAAGAATTGATTCTAGCATTTGAAACAGTAGCTGATTTATATAGATTTACTGACCTGGCAGTCCACACTGTACCCATCGCTATGCCATGTCACCACTCTTTGATGCCCATGATTATGATGAGCCAACACATGAGAAATAGAGGGACACGGGAGTCTATAAAGGGTCCAGCAGCCTTGGTTGCACTCAGACCTTCCTTGGTGTGCTCAGTCTTTGGGTTCCGTTGCTCAGCTGACTCACAGACATCCCAGACAATTTCATGCATATTTCTAGAATTCGGATAACATTCCTCTGCCTGAGTCTTCCCAACAAAGGCTGCCTTCCCTTACTGCTCTCCAGATCCCTTCAGACTTCAGCCTTCTGTATTTAAAATGTTGTGGCTGCTTCTCCTTGAAATTGTCTTCTGTTTCACAAAATAGCTATTGTTAAGATCATGAGACTTCTGGCTTTTTTCAACAAATTGAGATTTTCTTGGTTGAATGGACCCATATTATTATTCATATTGTATACCTAAGCTCATTATAAGATAAAGAGTGGCTCTTATTAAGTGCTTACTATGTATCAGGCACTGTGATAAACTTTCTGAGTACATTACTTCTTGAACCATCCCATTGTTCAGGCAGAGGGATTAAAAAGATAAAAGGTTTGATATGGTAGATTTAAAACCTGGTAGTCCAGCTCCCAGAGTCTGGAGCTGGAACCATTTTAATGAACAACAGCTTTCAAATATTTTGACCACAAACTGCAGTGATATATTCTACGTCACAGTCCAGAGACACACATTTTTACAATTGAAATACAAGTTTCAGGGGGCTGGGGATGTGGCTCAAGCGGTAGCGTGGTCTCCTGGCATGCGTGGGGCCCGGGTTCGATCCTTAGCACCACATACAAACAAAGATGTTGTGTCCGCCGAAAACTGAAAAATAAATTTTGAAATTCTCTCTCTTTCTCTCTCTCTCTTTAAAAAAAAAAGAAGAAAGAAAGAAAGAATAAAAGAAATACAAGTTTCACAGAGCAATGCTGACCCTTAGCACAGGTAGTATACTTTGGCAGTGTTGGTTCTCTTATTAGTTTTCTTACTTGTTACCTACCCACTTCCTCCTTCCTTCCATTCTTCCATCCATAGCTTCCCAAGTGAAAAACACTGCAGAATTGCCCTTCACTGTTTGTTCATTCATTCATCAACTACATTTTTTTTTTTTTTGGTGGGAGAGTACTGGGAATTGAACCCAGGGCCTTGTGCATGCAAGGCAAGTGCTCTACCAACTGAGCTATATCCCCCTATTGCTTCCTTTGTGTCTGATTTTTAGGCACAGGGGATACAGTGGTGAATACAGCAGATGAAGTCCTTATCCCCATAGAGTTCACAGCCAGAAGGTTTTGCACATGAAATGCAGTTGGAAAAAAATTGCAGATGAAGTCCTGAAACCCCTCCCCCAAAAAAACTACCTGGGAAGAAATCTATGGGTATCAAGTTTAGATTACTCCCCTAAATATACAGCTATGTAATAATATCCATTAAAGGACTATAGAAAAGGGTCAATGGTGTTTATTGCCATGTTGTTCAAAATAATGAATTAATTAATATTTTCAGATGGGGAATAATAATAATATGCAGTAATTAAAGTAATGACCTAATGAGATGTGTAGCAATATGGATTCCTCTCCAAAACCCAGTTAAAAAACAAGTTACAAGCCTTGCATGGAGAAAGCCTTGAGTTCAGTCCCCAGCACCAAAAACAAAATAAAAAGAAAAAAAACAAGTTATAAGAACACAAGAATTGTATAGTACAGGACAAAAGCATATTACTTATTATATACCTCAGTGTAATATTGTACATGAAAAAAACATAATATATCATTTGTGTGAAAGTTTTTAAATATCCAGGACAATACTACGCATTATCATGGGGACATATATTTATTATAAAAGTGGAAAATCCTTCAAAGTATGACCATACATCAATTTGGGAATAATGCTTATCACTCTTGGAGGTGGGAGAGAAGGTTGATATGTTAACAAATATTAATAAAGTAAAAGATTTAGCAAATGTGGCAAAACTCAACTATTGTTAAGTGTATCTGGGTGAATGGTTATTTCATTATTTGGAGTGCTTTTTCTGTGTTAATTATTACAACTTGTAATAATTAAAAACAGATGAAATTACTTTTATGTGCTACTCCTCTGTTTATGGGGCATGCACATTTCTATGTTCTGTGCCGTCTATCACACTTGTGTTTTATTTTCTCCAAAGAAAAGCTGCAACTAGTATCTTAGGGTTGAGATTTGGGGGATTTGCAGATTGGTCAGGTTTCAGGAGCATTGTTTGTGTCTCACCAGCAGAGGGCGCTGCTCCATAGCAGATAGAAGATGGAGCAGCCACACCAGGCATCCCATCCCTCCTACTAGTGTAGCWCCAGCGCCTCTCACAAAAACAGTGTTCTACCCTGGTGTGGGAAAGAAATTTATTTTAAGTACATTTAAGTACTTTCCTTCTGTTTGTGAAAAGGGGCACAAAATGCAGCCATTTGGATACACACGTATTCCTGAACATTCACAGCCTTGTCTGTTTCTCAGACTAAGAACGCAAGAAAAATTACATGCCAAGAGCATCCTTTGCTGTTGCACGAGCCAGCCTTTCTGCCACTTTTTGGTGAACTTCTTTGCCATTACACTAACTGGGGAACCTTCTCTGTTCTAGATGGAAAAAGATTATTCTTACCTGAAGGAGATCTGTGATCATCAAGCAGAACAGCTGAGCAGAACCAGCCTAAAACTGCAAGAGAAAGCATCAGAGAGTGATGCAGAGATAAAAGACATGAAAGAAACCATATTCGAATTGGAAGATCAGGTGGAACAGCACCGGGCTGTCAAGTTACACAATAATCAACTCATTAGTGAGCTGGAAAGTAAGTGATGTCACGTCCAGGTGAAACGTGGAACGGGCCTGAGTAGGATGCTAAAGAAACTGGTATTCGCAGGTGACTGTGAAACAGTTTTTAAGAATGTGTGTGTCTGGGGTCTAAGAAGAGTCTTTTGACTACTCTGTAATCTCTAAAGAATAATGGCACTTAAGAAATAATCATTAATCTCTTAAATTAAGTCAGAAAGTAAATGACAGAGTAGTCATGAGTCAGTAGACAAAACAACTACGAGAAGGAGCATGTGTATTTCAAATGTTAGGTACCAGTATGTGTCGTGAGGCAGAGCCATGCTGCTACCTCTGTCTTAAGACAGATACATGTGACATATTTTACCACTTAGTCTGTTTTGAGTTTAGCTGTGACTGTGTTCACATGGACTTTTTCTACAGATAGTCCCAGTGTAGGAGAGGGTCATTCAAAATGAACTGTTTACTACACTCATCAAGTACAGACAATGTGCTGTCTTTTGGATCTGATGGATAGAGGTTCAGAGTGGCGTGAACAATGTGTGCCTTTGGTCTGAGGGAGAAAACAATTCCAACATGTGTCCCGTTGACAGTAGGATATCAGATAACAGATGTTGGCCACTTCTTACTATAGAGACATCAAAATATGATTTATTTATAAGCTCATTGTTTGCTTTGACTAGGGAAATATTTTTAAAAGATTAAACATTGCCTGCTTTGTTCAAATAAGTTTTATAAAATTATCACATCTAATGTGTCTTGCTTTTACAACAAAAGAATTATGTAGAGAGCTTTTAACACTAACACATTACTAAAAATAGCTTAGTTACCTGAGAAGTTCCCCAATATGTACGATTAATCCTCATTATTCACAGATTCTGTGTTCATGAATTCACCTACTAACTAAAACTTATTTGTAATCCCAAATCAGTACTCATGATGCTTTCGTGGTTATTTTTGGAAATTCACAGAGAGGTGAAAAATTAGAGTCATCCTACCACTTACATTTCCAACTGAGATCAAAAACTCTGTCTTCTTATCTCAGTTCTGATACTGTATACCAGTGTCCTTTTTACAGTCTACTAATACCATGTTTTTAGTATTTTTGTGCTTGTTTTTCGTGTTTGCTGTTTAAAATGCACCCCTCTATCACAGTGCAATACTGAAGTGCCTTCTGCTGACCCTAAGTATAAGAAACTGTGATAGGGTCGGGCACGTGGCACACGCCTGTAATCCCAGCATCTCGGGAGGCTGAGGCAGGAAGATCTCAAGTTCAAAGCCAGCCTCAGCAAAAGTGGGGAGCTAAGCAACTCAGTGAGACCCTGTCTCTAAATAAAATACAAAATAGGGGTGGGGATGTGGCTCAGTGGTTGAGTGCTCTGAGTTCAATCCCCAGGACCAAAAAGAAAAGAAAGCTGTGATACACCTTGATGGAGAGTCATGTGTGTCAGATAAACTTGTTTCAGGACTGAGTTTTGAGCCACTGGCATGAGTTCAATGTTAATGAGTCAACAACCCAGTGCACTTAGAGAAAGAAAGAAGAACTTCTTCAATCTGCTCATAAGACTGCTCTGGAAAGTGCTAAAGTAACACATATAGTGCAAGATGACGCTATGGAGAAGATAGAAAAGGAATAAATTTATGGATTTGTGAGATGGAGGCCAAAAGGAAGTATAGCAGGCAGCATTATTGCAATGTCAGAAACCAGAGAAATTTACTTTATATGGCTCAGGATCAGGAAAATGATCAGTCCTCATTGCACACCCAGAAGGTGTGAGAGAAGTTAAACTTGTGAGCCAGAAAGGTTCCTTATGCTACAGAAGATTTAAAAAATATCTTTCCCCGTGTCACAAAGAAAGGGAAGAGCATGTTTCTAACACGTTTAACATATTCATTGGGCAGACAAACCTATGTAATGCAAACAGTGTTGTGACCAGAGGCTTATAGGAACCTAACTCTGTTTTTCCCCTATGGGCAGAGATTCAGTCCTTGCTAGTTGAGTGAGCTTGGCAACTTTATGTAGCTACCACAAATAATGAGAATTGACTGCGGTCTACGCCTGTGTGACAGTACCTGTTCCATTCCTCCTTAGACATGACGAACTGTAGAGTCTTGGCTCTCAGTATCACCCAGGCTCAACAGTGGTACTAGGATACAATTAAAGACTATTTCTAAAGAGCACTGCCCTTGAAAAAAAAAGTGAAGTCAAAGGAGATGAGTTCTGTTTTGTTTGGGTTTTGTTTTTGTGGCATATTGCTATTGAGAAAATGGTTGTATTGTCTTTAAATTCTTAAGAGTCAGTCCAGACACAACCAAAAAAACCAGTGTATAATTAGTGTCCACAGCAGATTTCAGGCCCATCCCCAGTGGTTATATCATAATCTATCCAAGACTGAAAAATAACACAGAGCATCTTTTAAGGGCTTTTAAACTTCTGTTAGGAATATTAAGGTATTATTAAGATATAGTTTTGTTAGGAGAACCAGGCACACTCAATTCCAGCCCTAATCACTCCTTCCCATAAGAATCTTGAGAGAAACAGGCAGAACAAGAAAAAGAAGTGAAGAAGGATTTTCTTACTCAGGCATTGATCCCAAACACAGATTCTTAGGCTCTACTGCTGGAATAGGATGTGACCATAAGGATTTGTTCTTTAACCTTCTCTAGTGATTCTGATTCATATCCTTAATAGACAAGTGCTGCTCTAGAAGAGAGAAACCATTCAGGAATTTTACCTTGGTGACTGACATGATGAGAACACTTAAATGGCTCTGATAGCCTCATGGAGCAAATTGGAGACTTGGAGAACCAGTGAGGAAAGTTGTTCTTAATTTAGGAGAGGTGATCAAGCTGTTAGAATATCCCTGGGCCCAGATTCTGTCTGTGCTCAGAGATTCTGGAGCCCATAGGTCTAGAGTTGGTGTCTTACAAATCTGTGCTTTTGAAAAGTGCCGCATGTGATTCTGAGGTTTAACTACGATTAAGAACTGCTACTCTAGAAATGCATTTCAGATTCACAGGAGTAATAACCAGTTACATCCTCTATTATACAAAAGCCCTCTACCTTTCAGTGATAAAGACTATTCAGGACAATTGTGTGCAAATAGCAGGGAAGTGCCCAACACAAGTGTGTAAGTGTGAACAGCTATTGAGGTCTTCTCTTATAGTGCCACATGGTGGTACTTCTGGTGGTATATCCTAAAAAAAACAAAACCAAAATACAAACAAACAAACAAACAAAAAAACCACTACTTATTTCCCAAATTATCCCAATCCCTGTCTTGGAAGAACCTTCTGCTGCTAGCTCCCCATCCGCTGGGTGCTAAAAACTGAATTTATAGTGGAAGGGATGGATTTGCCTTATTGTGACCTGTGGAGCTGTCCCTCTGCTTCCCAGCTTACTTTCTCTCAGAAGTCTCACAACGTTTTCAACTCCTGTCTCAATCACTTGCTTCTAGGCAATGTGATCAAATTGGAGGAACAGAAGTCAGACTTGGAACGGCAGCTGAAGACCCTGACAAAGCAGATAAAGGTGAGTGTGGGTTACAGCTGTGAACAGGGACCTTCTCCACTGTCTCACTATAAATGGTTCCCAGGGTTTGGAAACATTAGGAAAATACCAGTTGCCCTTTCTAAGTCTGCTTTCTCACCGAACATTTCAACAACTTGAGCCTTCCTGTTGGCAGGAAGTAAAATTAAATCAATTGTTCAGTTTTAGGATGGAGAATTCTGTGACTTGAGGAAGGAATTTCCATCTGTGCCTCTTCTTAGTAGGGTGACAATATGAATGCAGGGCCTCCCTGTATACTTCCTTGGTGATTGATATGGTGACTCTAGGCCCCTGCCTGCATGTTTGCCCCAGCAGGCCTTTCTCACAGGTGTGGGCTCTGGCATTTTCAGGAGGAGACAGAGGAATGGAGGCGGTTCCAGGCAGACCTGCAAACTGCAGTGGTTGTGGCCAATGACATCAAGTGTGAGGCCCAGCAGGAACTGCGCTCTGTTAAGAGGAGGCTGCTGGAAGAGGAAGAGAAGAACGCCAGGCTACAAAAGGAGCTGGGGGACATGCAGGGCCATAGCAGGTGGGTCATGGGCGGAGCCCCACCTCCGTGAGTCTGATGAGCCCCTGAACAGTGCTTTGGCTTCTCACTTAATCACTGTGCATGAGGCTGTGTTATAGAGACAAAAGCTTTTGTGTCTCTCTGTGCCAGGTTCTATGATGTCTTTTCTTCGATCAGTCTACCATTAACCATGCCACTTCCCTACTTGGAACCTTCCAAATCTAGGCTCAAATCACTGCTCTCATGGGCTATTTCAAATAAGGCCTGACATAACCCACTCTATTAAAAAGGATAAGTTAGTGTGGAAAACAAAAGATCTTGCAGATTCATGACTTCCCCTTCTGATGTTTTAGCACAAAGGCCCTATTGAACAGGTGTTTAAGAGGAAGGTATTCCTAAGGTGAGCTTAAAACTAATTATTATTTAAAATTTAAAGGGAGGGGGACATAGATAAAATTACAAGCAATATTTTAGACTTTGACTAATAAGATGCTATCTTTCCCCAATCAGGAGTCACTGTCCTTAACTTTGAATATTAGGAAACTATTTTTGAGTTTTTAGATATCTTTCAAATGTAAAATATAGTCTTATAAAATCAGATTTAGTGGGTTCTGAATTTTGATGTGTACAGTTTACCCTAATCTTGTTTTTCCAGGATCAGAAGGGTTGTTTGTTGGCTTGTTTCTGCACCTTGAGGTCTGGTGTTCTGTGATCATGAGTGTCATGACATTGGAAAGAGTGGATTTCTTCTCAGAATTCAGTTCTATCATAAATTTCTATCATAGAATCATAAAATTCTATCATAAAACCTGCTCCAATAAATCCCTGCTCCTTTGTTTATGATTTTTTTTATTAAGTGGCCTCTAGAGAAGGAATAATGTGTCCAGTTTCACACTTCAGTCTTGAAAAAACCAGAATCATTATTTCCCAGTCACCCGTCTTCCCTCTAGCCACAGACGTGATTTTACAGGAAGGCAGGAGATTTCCCAGTGTTCCCTGCTGAAAGGACTACAGGGTCATTCTAGTTTGCTTTTGCGTCTGCCTTTGTCTGTCTTGCTTCCATAATGTCCGTCTTTGGAAGAAGAACTAAGTCATAGCTTTTGTTACTTCCTATCTAAGTTATTTTAAAGATAAATGGTAAAAGACAAACCCTGAGTTTTCATGGTGTTCCTAAATAGGTTATTGTATGAGATATTGAATTTCTTCCATAGATTCTAAGATACAGGCTTAATAGGTAATCTACATAATAGGTAATCTCTGTGTGTCCAGACAGTCCAAGGCTTCATACACTCTGCATCTTCACATTTAAAGTTACTTTTTCTTTTAAACACAGAATGTTTCTTTCTCCCCACCCACCTTTTTTTTTGGTACCAGGAATTGAACCCAGGGTTGCTTAACAACTGAACCATATCCCAGCCCTTTTTGATTTTTTATTTTGAGGTAGAGTCTTGCTAAGTTGCTTAGGGTCTCCTGAGTCATTGGGATTATAGGCACGTGCCACTATGCCCAGCTCCTATGATTTTTTTTTCTTAAGCCTATCTTCCAAACCTAGCAATTTAATCACAAAATCACAATTTTATCACAAAACCTTTCAAATTTTAGAATTGACACCAATCAGAACATGGCACATTATGGGAAACCATTGGCATCAGAATGTTTCTTGCCTGTCATTGCATTTGGCAGAACATCGGACAACTGCTGGTGATGGTTTCTTGTCTGATTTTTCACTTGTCTGGTAAGCTGCTCCCCTTAAGGAGTTGACTGTTTGCCGGGCTCAATGGCGTGCACCTGTAATCCTGGCAGTTCAGGAGACTGAGGCAGGAGGATTGTGAATTCAAAGCCAGCCACAGCAATGTAGTGAGGCACTAAGCAACTCAGCTGAGACCCTATCTTTAAATAAAATATTTTAAAAACTGCTGGGGATATGGCTCAGTGGTAAAATGCCTCTGGGTTCAATCCCTGATACATAATAATAATAATAATAGCAGCTGACCATTTCAAAGTTACTCACTGATGGCTCAGCTACCTCCTGCACCTACCATGGACAAGAATGGAAACCAACTAACTCATACCTCAAAGCTCCTGCAGCAACTTAGTGTTTCCATCTTGACTGAATAAGTGCTTGACACTTAATTTGACTTCGACAGTCATCTCATAAGAACTCAAAGGTCATTCTTGGCTCAGCCACAGCCACAGAACTTGCAGAACACCCTCTGATGAGGTCCTCCAAGCACAACTGAGAGAAGGTAAGAGCATCCCGAAAAGCACCTTGACTGTGACATGGGGTTAACTGGTTCGTATTCTCATTTTGAACAGATTGATATTCAAGGAGATTGTTAAGAGCTGGGCTGATAGGTGGGCAAATGAATGATGAGTCTAGATGGGAAAACAAATTAGCACTTGTTACCAAGAACTCAGTAACTAAAACAAAGTGGGATATTATTTAACTGATTAAAGATCTTCATTCCTGTTACATTTTCAGAGATATTTTTGTTTTATTTATCAATTTTTCGAGATGAGGTCTTGTTGTGTTGCCCAGGCTGGTCTCCAACTTGTGCATCCAGGGGGTCCTCCCTTCTTAGCCTCCTGAGTAGCTGGAACTACAAACTCCTGTCACCACAGCCAGCTGATGTTATTTATTTATTTATTTAAATTTTAGAGTAAGAATAACTGATGTTAAGATTCATGGGAAATTAAGGCACTGACATTCTTACACCAGTGTCCCCTTCCTAGACCTGGCTCCATCATATATAATAGTGTTTCAGGGTCTCTTTAAACCATGCTATTCTGAGACTGGTTGGTCAACTGGCCTTCCTGTAGTGGGAAAGTCAGAAATGAGTGCTAATAAACTCCATTTATTTGGTACAATCTTTGAACCTCAGTTCAAAAATCTCTGAATTTTAGCTGTGACTTGTGGGCCTGATTTTTCTGTCACAGAAATTTGAACAAACCTGAAAGCAGTCTGTGTTTTACTGAATATATAAATTAATGAATAAAAGGATAATGAAAAACTTTCTCAACCTTGGCTTTTCCCATTTTGAACAATTAAGAGAAAGGCATCGAAATGAAGACTTTCAATCGGGTGTGGTGGCCCATGCCTGTAATCCCAGTGGCTTGGGAGGCTGAGACAAGGAGGATCCCGAGTTCAAAGCCAGCCTCAGCAATGGCGAGGCGCTGGGCAACAAAATAGGGCTGGGTGGTCAAGGGCCCCTGAGTTCAATTCCCGGTACCAAAAAAAATGAAGACTTTCACTGAAGTTAAAACACCAGTTCTGGGGTTGGGGGTATAGCTCAGAGGTAGAGTGCCTGTCTACATTTGCAAGGCCTTGGGTTAGATTCCCAGCATGAGGGGGAATGGGGTCATCGGATCTTCTTCTAAAAAGTTGAGTTCTGAGGCCTGGCTAATACAAAGGATACACATCATGGTTCTATAGGCCACACACAAACTTTTTTAATGAAAGACATCGTTGATGTGCAATACATGATATGGGCTTCATGAACAGTGGCAGAGAATGACCCATATGCATTTATTTCTCATTCTAAAAAAGTTAAAGCCATTATTTTTAGGATGGCTTACACAATTCATACTGTGTTCATCATGTAACACCAAGCAAGCATCCATGGGAGAGATCTTAAAAAGAAAGAGGTCTTTGAAAACACTGAAAATTTGTTTCTGATCAAGGGCATTTGCTTCCATGATAGAATATCTCAGATCACATGTGTTTAGCCCGTACCACCCACTGATTCTCACATTGTCCCAGCTGAAGTGAGCAGTGTGGTGGCTTGTCTTGTGCAGACTCTGCTGGAATTGGCTTGTAACTTGCATGTGCACATCTATGTCGTGCCCTAACATCACTTGTGTGTACCTGTGCTGCCCTCTGTATTGTTCTTAGCATTCTAATGTTTCACAGCTGCTCAGCAAGCGTTCTGTAGCTACTGCTGAAGGGGAAGTATGGGAGCTGGAGGTATATATTCTTGGGAGCTAAGATGAAGTCTGTGATACTAAATCCCTGGCCTTCATAGAGGGGGCCAGTTCCCATGGAATTCCTAAGCAATTACTGAACAGACCCACCTTAGCTCCTACAACTGTCACGACCACTGGCCTTTCATTTGACCTTTAATGTAAAAATTAGTCCTCTTGGTATCCTTTCACTCCAGGAAGCATGATCTCTTCATTTATATATTTCTTTCATAGTTTAAATTTACAGGTTTAATATTAAATATATAGCCTGTAATTGTACATTTTTTTTTTTTTTTTTTTTTTTACTTTTTTGGCTGTGCTGAGGATTGAACCCAGGGCCTCATACATGCGAGGCAAATGCTATACCGTTGACGTATATCCCCAGTCCTGGTCTAAGCCTAAAGACCTACATCTGCCTCTCTGGTTCCTGATCCCCATTTTACAGATTCGTTTTGATATGACTCCCTTAAACCCTTAGGATTTTTAGTCTGTCATAATAATATATATATATATATATTTTTTTTTAGCCTTGATAATAGAGGTAAGCATGAACCTCTCTGTAAATGACAGTGGGGCAGGTGTTTACCTGGACATCTCTGCTTCTCCAACATATTTCTTTGTTGGARAAGTTCTGCTGGAAGGAGCCTCGTAATGGCATTTTGAAATCTTTGACATTTTTCTGTCTGAAAACCTTTGACTTCCAAAAAATATTGTAATAGTGGGAGTGAAAGCTTATTGGCCCTATTGTGGGTATTTGCTTTTCTCTGTGGGACAGTATAGGCTGTTAATTCTTATGTTATAAACGAAGACCCCGTTGCCTTACGTCACTCCTTTACCAGCCTTCCCTTCCATTTCTATCTTCACAGCTCCATGGTCTCTGTCAGCTAGCAGAGCATTTGGTGGAAGAAAGACAGTCCAGCCCTTGCCATGATTGGAAACTACAGCCATTTCTATATGAAAGGGGGAGTCTGTAGAGGAGAAATTACTGCTTTATAAAGAACCCAGTTGTTTTGTGTACATTCATTGTTCCCCACAGAGTCATTGCAATCAAGTCTCTTTACTTTTTTCCTACATTCTGGAATCAAATCATGCATGATCAAAGATAATCATTTTGTCCCCCCCTCAGAAGATTCAGTGTTCTCTTTTTGGAAGAGTAAAATGAAGTTCAGAAAAAAAATTTAAAAACAAGTCCTTTGAAAGAAATATTTTATATGCAACCGGAGTGTTCAGAAAGAATAACTGCATAGCAAACTCCAAGTGTTGGTGAATGTATGGGTTCTCCTTTTGGAGTTTATTTTTATGCTGCCTTTTGGTATAGTATCTGATAATCTGAGAATTCACACTACCCAAGGCAAAATAAGAAGCCGTCTGCATGATGCCTTATTCTGAAGAAGTTAGAAAGTTCTGCTCCCTTTTATCAAGTCTTGATTCAGCCTTTCCAAGCTGGGGTCTCGCTTTATTACCTCATCTGAAACAAGCTACCACCAAGCTTTGGTCTATTTTCCAGAATCTTCATTGAGCTAAACATAAATAGATATTTGGTTGATAATAAAAGATGAAGTTAACCAGATAGGTATGCAGTAACAGTGCTAACTGAAAACTAATGAAGGACAACTTACAACAAAAGACTTGTGAATAAAACTTACCATGAAAACTTAAAAGATTTTTTAATGCAGAAGTGTACAATTCAGAGTTGGGAAGAACATTTGTAAATATCTTTACCTGATTCAGCAAAGTCCATCAGGCAAAAGCCTACTGCTGTGCTTCTCATGTGAGGAGACGTTTACAGTGTATACAGTGTAGGGTTGTTAGCTGCATCATGCATGCTAAGGATAAGATAGGAGTTGTTATCTAATAAAGGAAAAATTAGGATCAAGAATGCTTTTTAAACTCAGGAAGATGTTTTGGGGAATCAAACTGGGGAGTACAGATTCACTAGAAATATTTAGCTTTGTGTGGGAAAGAAGAGACGTTAATGTCTTCTCTGTAAAAATAATTAAGATACTTGCTGAAATTGTCTAGTAGGATTGAAATTTTTATTCTAAGAGATATTTACCTCAGATTGAGAATTTTTAGAATGACTTAAAATTTACTTGCTGGGTGTTTTCAAATATAAACAACAGTAAATAAAAAAAAATAAGAAAAATGCAACCTCAACTTAAAATGCACAACTGTGTTCACATGCATATTTTGATCTATCTTTACTCCAGGTACTGTTGAATATTTTTATATGTAAGAGTTTATGAAGTGCTAAATAAATATGTTATTATTTAGAAGAGTCTGTTGTTTGATTTTTAATCATTGATCATGTTTCTTCAGGACCTTTATGTTGCTTTAACTTTTTTCCTTAATATATTTTCAGAACTTTTTTCCCTCCATGCTGTGACTCAAATCCAGGGCCTTGTACATGCTAGGGAGTACTTTATCACTGAGCTTATATCTCTAGACCCTAGTTTCAGAACTTTAAAGTAACTAGAATTTGAAGTAGAAATAAGCTGGACTTGAAATATAAGTTGTAGAGAATAGGTTGAAATGGAATATGAACGTAACTTTTTTTTTTTTTTAAAGAGAGAGAGAGAGAGAGAATTTTTTAATATTTATTTTTTAGTTTTCGGCGGACACAACATCTTTGTTTGTATGTGGTGCTGAGGATCGAACCCGGGCCGCACGCATGCCAGGCGAGCGCGCTACCGCTTGAGCCACATCTCCAGCCCTGAATGTAACTTTTAATGATTTCATTGTTTGAAAAAGGAAACGTGAAAACATTATTTTTGCATAAAGTAATATTTAAAGCAAAACTCTAGAGTATCAGAAAATAGTAATACATAGAATTTGAAGTCTAGATTGAAAATTTAAAACTATTTGAAATTTAAAAACAATTAGATTAATGATTTAATAATTTGATTTTTTTCACCGGGTGTGGTGGCTCATAACTGTAATCCCAGCAGCTTGGGAGGCTGAGGCAGGAGGATGGAGAGTTCAAAGCCAGCCTCAGCAAAAGCAAGACACTAAGCAACTCAGTGAGACCCTGTGTCCTGTCTCTAAATACCTCTTTTTTCTTTCTTTCTTTCTTTTTTTTTTTTAATGTGGTGCTGGGGATTGAACCCAGGGCCTTGTGCATGCAAGGCAAGCACTCTACCAACTGAGCTATATCCCCAGCCCTGTTTCTAAATAAATACAAAATAGGGCTGGGGATGTGACTCAGTTGAGTACCCCTGAGTTCAATCTCCAGTACTAAAATAATGATAATAATAATAATATGATTTTTCTTAATTATGAAGTAATATATGGGAATACTAATGATGAACTGGAGATATGTGAAGAAAAATAGTAATCCTTTTCCTTCTTTTGTTATCATCCTATAAGGTAATCAGTGTTAACAGTATGTGTATTTTTCTTCATCTTTCCCTTTACTCATATATCATATAAATGTACCAGTAGGGCTCATTTTTATATTTTTTATAAATTTGGAATTATATTCTATACAGTACCATGCACCTTCACATTTCAGTTGATGTGTCCTGGGCAGTATTACAAATCTAAGTAATTTTAATAGCTGCATGGTATTCTACATGGATCTGAGAATATTCAAATGCTGAGATGCCAAGGTTACATTTTTTAATCTTTTCCCCCCCTCAAATAATGGTATAACATAACCGTATATGGTTGTATCTTAATTTATTAATTTATTTACTTATTTACTTTTGATATTGGGAATTGAACCCAKGGCCTTAAGCATGCTAAATGCACACTCTACCACTGAGCTACACTCCCAGCACCGTGCCCCCACCACCACCTTTTTTTTATAGGATGGGTTCCTAAAAATATGATTGCTGCATTAGAGAGTATTCATGTTTTTATTTTCATAAATATTGCCAGATTATTTACCTTAGAGCTACGATTCTTTAGTCTTTTTTTATTATTATTTATTTATTTACTTATTTTGTAGTCATGTATGGACAGCATGCCTTTATTTTATTTACTTTTATGAGGTGCTGAGGATCAAACCCAGTGCCTCACACATGCTAGGCAAGTACTTTGCCACTGAGCCACAGCCCCGGCCTGCGTGATGGCGTTAGTCTTGATGGTGTTAGTCTCTATCCAAAGAGACTTCCCAAATATGCCTCTTTTTCTTTTGAGTTAGTTCTGCTTCAGATATTTTAATGGGATTATTACCTTACTTATATTGTTTTTCAAGCTCAACCTTTCATTTTAAGTTGTCATCTTTCATCTTGTTCACATTTTTTTTTTTAATTTTAAGGTAGATGCTATCAAGAATGCCTTGTTTCCTATCATAAATTTACAAATGTCTATTCTGTCTTGAATGAAGTAAGTCTCCTTATTTTATATACTGAAATGTCTTTGTAGGTCAGAACTTTTAAAATATTTTAATTTTCAAATATTTGTATTAGGGGATTCTTTTTCTCATCACTGACCCTTGCTTGAATTGATTAAAGTGTGTCAGGGTCCATATTTGCGTGAGATCCGTAACTATAGAAGCTGTTTAGATGCATTTGCTTTGCCTCTTAAGCTGGAGGGAAGGCTCTTTAAGGTAAATTGAAACTCAGACTACAGGGGGAGCAGGTGTCTAGTAGGGGAAATTCCTTTATGTCTAGTTTTTTCTCTGGAGAAACTGGAATGAAGGAGCCAACTTCCTGGGTTTGCTGTTGTTTGGCCCATTTGTCCACATTAGGTCCATTCTGTGACTCTCCTGACTTGTCCCTTGTTACTGTTGCCCTTTGTGCCTGGAATAACCGATTTCTAGCTTCTCCAGACAATCCAGTCTTCATCTCCTTATCCTTTGCAAAGATACTGCATGCTCCCTAGGCATCATGTGCCTCCCCATTCCTGGCCTTTGAGGATGGGAAATACTAATGGGTTTTTTCTCATGCCTCCATTTTCTTTGCAAGGAAATTAGGGAAAGCCCTTTGGTATTTTCTCTCCCCAACATACACACTTATTCTGTGTAACAGAAACTTAAAATTGTGTAGGTAGTATCTAGTTTCCATTGCCGATGCAAGATTCTGCACTATTTCTCTTACTGTGTTGAAATTTGGAGATTAAGATGTGTTCCAATTGCTGGTTTTTTCCTCTTTGTTTTACTAGTTCTGAATGCCAATATTGCAATTGGAAGGTAAAGTTCAGAAGATACTGTTTGACACCTAAGAGAATACTTCATAATTTCTGCCTCACAGCAAAGTGACAAACTTCTTTTAGATTTGTTTTATAGAGCTGAGGCTGTAGCTCAGTGCAAAAGCACTTGCTTAGCATGTATTATGCCCTGGGTTCATTCCTCAGTATTTGGGGGGGGGGGGGGGGGGGTGGATTTGTTTTGTGCAAAACAGTAAAAAAGTATTTTGAGAAAAGTATATTTCAGGCAAGGGCATAGAATAAGCAAAATGCAGAGGCAGGACATAAAAGGAACAAAACTTGATTAACCAGGCTGAGTTCAAAAACCAGATGGGCAAGTGGAAGTCAAAGGCAGTATGCCTGAATGGCACCAGGAGAGGCCTGGGGCAGGGTCGTTTCCAGGAGCCACAGCAATTGTAATCATGTGTTTGGCATGACCAGTCCTTTTAACAAATAATAATCTGCCAGTTGTGAATTTAACAGTGGTGTAATTCAGTGTCTCCCAAGTAGAATTACTTGGGTTTTTGAATACTTCAAAAATCATCTTGCCAGGGCTGGGGATATAGCTTAGTTGGTAGGCCCTGGGTTCAACCCCAGCACCAGGAAAAAAAAAATCATCTTGTCTTATGTAGGAGCTCACCTATGCTTAGATTGAAATAGGCTACATCAAGTCTCATCTTGATGAAGTGAATACTGTAGAAAATCAATGTCATTTGAAGACTCTGTTCTACAACCAAACAAGGAAAGCAATGAATTGGAGAGATTAAATGAAATTTTTAGAGAAAAAAAATAATTATAGACATGTATGCGCATGCACACACATATAAAAACTAAGGCATGTAAGGTAGACTTCCACTCTGTGAGTGGCGGACATGCATCTCACTGTGGCTGATGGGTATGCACGTGGTGGGTTCATGTGCCAAAGTATCAGAAAGTATGTTTGTCATATTCAGATTATTTGTTACCAGCTCCTACAAGCAAATTCTTGCATAAAAATAGGATTTATTTACTGAAATAAATATTGGCATCATTTTTTAAAATATATTTAAATAAATATAATTTTTAAATATATTTAAGATATTTAACTTATTCTTAAATATATTTAAAATAAATTTTAAGAAGAAACTTTAGAACCTTTGTGTGCCTCCATGGAACATTCAGGCATTAAGGAAAATTTGACAAAAGCATAACCAGTGGAGCTGGATTTGTATTTCAGATTCCCTACTTAAGAGCCATGGGACCTCTGTCAAACTTTTCCTTCTCAAGTAAGGTATAATAGTATGGAATTTTATAGAAGATTAATATCAATATGTTTTAAAGATATATGGTATACTTTCTAGCATATACAGAGGAGTTATGTACACTTATTTTGCTAAAATTATAATGATTATAGTTTCATACACAGGGAGCAGATAGAAGACATTCTTTATTTCTGTTGTTTTAAATGTGTCTCCTAAACACAAAATACAAAAAAATTMTTTTCTTTTTTTTTTAATATTTATTTTTTAGTTTTCGGCGGACACAACATCTTTGTTGGTATGTGGTACTGAGGATCGAACCCGGGCCGCACGCATGCCAGGCGAGCGCGCTACCGCTTGAGCCACATCCCCAGCCCCCCAAAAATTATTTTCTGTTAGCAGTGGTAGGGGAACCTATATGTTAGAATTACTGAAAGATATGTTTGTATGTAGTCATATTTACAAAGTCATCTAAGTTGTACTTTTGGGTGAGAAGAGATTTTCAAGGCATATTTGATTTACATGTGTGATTTTTATTTTCAGGTTGACCTTAGAACCTAAACTCGGTCTTAGAGGCAATAACTACTCTTGAACAAATATGTACCTGATAGTGGTATCTTACAATTTTTCTTTTATTTAATGCATTTGCTGATATACACCTGGCTACAGGCATTAAATGTTTCTTAATATTCTTTATGGGATGCAGAATTCCTATTTTTAAAAATAATATCTGTATTTTATTAATTTATTTTGATGTGCACTGAAGATAGAATTCAGTACCTTACACGTGCTAGGCAAGTAG